GTTACATATGGGGTGAGAGCCCAGGCTATGCGTTTGCCGAGATTGTAGTTGAATGAATCATAAGTAGACAGTATAGGTCGTAGGGGGCAGTCCTGTTTGTGTGGTTTAGGAATGCCATAGAGTTGTGGTGTGCGTGAATCCGTTTTAGGTAGATAAAAATAAAGATCGTCAGTAATTAAATTATCTTTTTTCATTTGTAATAAAGTTCTGTTTAATTGTTTTTCGTGTGTGTTCTTGGGTTATTTGCGATGGCTTTGAATTTCTTTTTATCGGAAAGGATGTCGTTCATTTTGTCGATGTATTCTGAATTGTTCATGATGACAGTGGTGTTGCCTTTATCGGCTTCAATAATTTTAATGTTAGTGTCCTTTTTAAGATTATAAATGGATTTGATCTCGATACTTGTGATGTTACTTTTCAGTTTACGGGATTGGTTGACTATATTAACTATATCTTGTTAGAGAATTCTTTGAAAAAGTTATTTAAAATACAATTTTTGGGAACTTCGGGAAACCACATTTTGTTGTAGTTACCTGTGATAAAAGTCTGTTGGTTGATGTCATAGATTTCTTCTTTCTGTAGTTGGAGGATGTTTGAGGTAGAGGTGATCTTTTGTTATTTTATGTAGCGGGTCACTAGCCTTCTGGCTAGATCTTCTAGAGACGCCTTGAACTCTAGGCATGGAGTTGTTTTGTGGTTGATGACAAAGTTGAGGCTTTTGTTTAAACGTTGAAGTTCTGTGTCGTTGAGTGTCCGGTCACATCTGTTAATTACAAGGTTAGGCTGAGCTGCATTGATGTGTTTCACTTCAAGTTGTTGTAGTTTCCTTAGTTGATCTAGTTTCTTATTGTGTGTAGACTTCTTTTCTTGATTCAGCAATGAGTTGTTTTGGTTGATAGCGCGTTGTATATTGCCGTAATCATCTGGTTCGAGGTGGCAGACTAGTTGGTGGTCTAATTTCTGTTTGAGTTTGTGTAAGTAATCCAGTTCTTGATATTTGGAATTCAGGGTTGCTTTTAGGAGTTTTTTCTGCGTGTTTTGGATAATACCTGAAAACTGGTTTAAGTTTTTCGATAACTTGACCTTCACAAATTTAGGAATTAGCTTTCCAGAGCGACACTGTCTTAGGAAGGAAATATCGTTTCTCTTTTTGATGATTTTTATATTAAATTAAAATTAAATTAAATTAAATTAAAATCGTTACTAAACAAAAATTATTTAGAATCACATAATACCAACGTCATTTACAAAATAACATGCAATAACTGCCCAGAATTTT